CTATATGGCCCACAGCGATGTCCATATCTCTGCCAATATTGATCCGATCATTGAACGGAATACCTTTAACGATTTCTGGATCGATTCTCTACCAAACTGCATCACAACCTTGGAACCCATTTTTAATTCCATTTTTTGTCAATTTTTCCCATGGACTCCCTTAAAAAATGGGGAAATGCATGGGGCGGCCTATATGGCCCACAGCGATGTCCATATCTCTGCCAATATTGATCCGATAATTGAACGGAATACCTTTAACGATTTCTGGATCGATTCTCTACCAAACTGCATCAAAACCTTGGAACCCATTTTTAATTCCATTTTTTGTCATTTTTCCCATGGACTCCCTTAAAAAATGGGGAAATGCATGGGGCGGCCTATATGGCCCACAGCGATGTCCATATCTCTGCCAATATTGATCCGATCATTGAACGGAATACCTTTAACGATTTCTGGATCGATTCTCTACCAAACTGCATCAAAACCTTGGAACCCATTTTTGATTCCATTTTTTGTCATTTTTTCCATGGACTCCCTTGAAAATGGGGAAATGCATGGAGCGGCCTATATGACCCACAGCGATGTCCATATCTCTGCCAATATTGATCCGATCATTCAACGGAATACCTTCAACGATTTCTGGATCGATTCTCTATCAAACTGCATCAAAACCTTGGAATCCATTTTCGATTCCATTTTTTGTCAATTTTTCCCATGGACTCCCTTAAAAAATGGGGAAATGCATGGGGCGGCCTATATGGCCCACAGCGATGTCCATATCTCTGCCAATATTGATCCGATCATTGAACGGAATACCTATAACGATTTCTGGATCGATTTTCTACCAAACTGCATCAAAACCTTGGAACCCATTTTTGATTCCATTTTTTGTCATTTTTCCCACTCCCTTGAAAATGGGGAAATGCATGGAGCGGCCTATATGGCCCACAGCGATGTCCATATCTCTGCCAATATTGATCCGATCATTGAACGGAATACCTTCAACGATTTCTGGATCGATTCTCTACCAAACTGCATCAAAACCTTGGAACCCATTTTCGATTGAATTTTTTGTCAATTTTTCCCATGGACTCCCTTGGAAATGGGGAAATGCATGGGGAGGCCTATATGGCCCACAGCGATGTCCATATCTCTGCGAATATTGATCCGATCATTGAACGGAATACCTTAAACGATTTCAGGCTCGATTCTCTACCAAACTGCATCAAAACCTTGAAACCCATTTTCGATTCCATTTTTTGTCAATTTTTCCCATGGACTCCCTTGAAAATGGGGAAATACATGGGGCGGCCAATATGGCTCACAGCGATGCCCATATCTCTGCCAATATTGATCAGATCGTTGAATGGAATACCTTCAACGATTTATGGATCGATTCTCTACCAAACTGCATCAAAACCTTGAAACCAATTTTTGATTCAATTTTTTGTCAATTTTTCCCATGGACTCCTTTAAAAGTGGCGAAATGCATGGAGCGGCCAATATGGCCCACAGCGATGTCGCTATCTCTGCTAATATTGACCCGATCATTGAACGGAATACCTTCAACGATTTCTGGATCGATTCTCTACCAAACTGCATCAAAACCTTGGAACCCATTTTCGATTCCATTTTTTTGTCAATTTTTCCCATAGACTCTCTTCAAAGTGAGGAAATGCTTGGGGAGGCCTATATGGCCCACAGCGATGTCCATATCTCTGTCAATATTGATCCGATCGTTAAACGAAATACCTTAAACGATTTCTGGATCGATTCTCTACCAAACTGCATCAAAACCTTGAAACCCATTTTCGATTCCATTTTTTGTCAATTTTTTCCATGGACTCCCTTGAAAATGGGGAAATGCGTGGGGCGGCCTATATGGCCCACAGCGATGTCTATATCTCTGCCATTTTTGATTCCATTTTTCGATGGGAACTCGAAACTCACTTTGAGATGTTATACACCTGATACAGATTCTTAACAAATCAGTTACTAATTTCTGGTTGCTGTTTAACTCTGCCCTTTACCCTGAACCACTCAAAAGCCGCTTATAAGCCGCTCGTTGTTTTGTTTGTTTTGGTTTGGCTTTTGCCTTTGTTATGCTAAAACCAATTGGTGGCAACCTTTTGGTATTTAAACTTGACTCTTGCCAGCGGCAGCTAAGACAAACTCTTGGCTTTATACTATAATATCAAATGCTGGTTTGCCGACTGTTTTTGTTATTATAATCTGCTCGAGTGTCTGTCTTGCAGTCGCCCATCAAGACGTCACGTAATAGACGATCGCTCGGTCACTGGTTACACCTGTTTCATCGCCGTCTTTTTATTTTATTTATATATGCTTCGTGTAATGATATGCCACCAGCAGGGTTTACAGTTACAAGTCTAACAGCTATTTACCAAATTTCCTCTTCATTGAAAAATGAAAAGTTCATCAAACGCATCGGCATGCCGAAAGTGGCAAGTGCGCAATTGGTAGTTGGGAATTGGCAGTTGTCTTGCCTCTCAAACTCAAACTGTAATCAAAAATCGCCTTTGACTGAAGCCGATGCCAAAGCCGAAAATCAGCTATGGAAAACGTGCGGAAAAGCGCAATAACATTTAATTCGAGGGAAACCCATATAGACAGCAGCCATCATCCTTCAAACTCCACCTCCAAAACTAAAATCTGCAATTAAAAATTCCCAGTGAAAGTTTCCTTCAAATGTTTGTTATTTTTTATTCGTATGCGAAAATTTCGTAATCAATTTTCGATAAAAGGTTGTTTTGATATTCGCACGTTTTTTTCGATTTCTTCGTATTTTTTAAATGCTAATTTAAATGCGTTTCGTTAAGGCGACAAATTGGCAGTGGAATCGTGCGTTTGTTGAACTTAATTTGCATACGTGAGCCGATCGCCTCGATCGATGCTGTTTGAACCAGTTTATTTATGTTGTCCGAGATTTGGTCCCATGAAAAAGGTCTTCGATTTTTCGAGTGGAAAGTGAAACTTATTTCAAAAGAAAGTGCTGACTCCCGCGATTATTTATACAATGACGGTGCTTCATTAAGTTGTAGGAGTTCGATGCTCGAAATGACGGTTCGTTCAATTTGTTTATTTATCTAAATTCGAATGCATTTGATTGTTCCAAAGATAATATTCTAATTATGGCCGAGACTCACGCTAATGATGATGATTTAATTTATGGCTAAGTGGCTAAGATGACTTTTAACCTACGCCAAAGTTGGGTTTATGTGAAAGAAAGATGGATAACATTTTGGGGTTTGGCTACAAATTTTTGTGTGAGGCCAAATATATAATATAACGCCTTCGCAAATAGTGTATCTTTATAGCTTACAAAAATTAATAATCGTAAAAAAAACTATTTATACCTTAGGCTAAACTAAAACGACTCAAAAAGCAGTTTAAACATTTACATAAAAAAATAATAGCATGTAACATAAAAAATAAAACATTATTTTGGCCTTGCAAATATTTATTAAATGCTGGCTATAATCCTGGCTTTAACTTATTTCTCAAGACTCGATCTTCTGGCTTCTGACTTGATATATGTTCCTGTATTTTTTCCTCTTCCCAAGCTACTTCCACTTAACTTGAGTCTTCAATCTCACAATCAGACTGAAATTGATATCGTATGGGAAGTTAATTAAGAAGAAGTCGCCGAAGAAGTGGCAGACATGGGAACTTGTTTTTTCGATATTGCATCGATTGGAAACCAGAAACCAAAAAAGTGTTGCAAACAGACACCAAAAGAAAGCAACAATATTAAACGACAAGCTACTCATGCCACTCCTGGCCGAATATCATAATTATTTTAAGTCATTAAACTTCCAGAAATCAAATCGCGACTACATATCAAAAGTTAACCAACCGAAGGCAAAGAAATATCCGAAACAAGAAAATCCCGCAACGATAAGGAAATTATGTATTAAACACATTGACGATTGGACAGGCCGCCACCGCCCGTCCAACAACATGATCTCAGGACAGTTGGCGTAGAAAGAAAAAAAAACAGAGCTAACAAGTTGCTGTGGCACTAGTGCACAAAAAAAGAGGTAAAAACCAAAGAAAATCTCGCCACACCAACCGATTTTGGCGGCTGTTTAAGTGAATTAAGTATTGCACAACATCTAGAGAGCAAAATAAGAAAAAAAGGCAGAAACTTGCCCGTGTTCGTTGGCCATATAAATGGTAACAACTTCGGCGATCTGAATCTCTGTGACGTATCTTCGATGTTGGTGTGCGAGTGTAGTCGTATTTGCGGTTGGGCTGTCGCTCAATTGCAGTCCACAAATGGCTTAAATGCGCGCTCATGACCGCAGGCAATAAAATAATTAAGATGAACATAAAAACGAGCTAAAAAATGGCTGCATAATTCACACTTTGAGCTTGTTTCGTTTACTCGATCAGGTCCAAAATGGGGCGTTCAAGCAGGTGAAGTTAAGTGGACTTTTCAATATCTTGATTAGTGATATTAAGGGTTAGTCGAAAGGGGAAGGTTGGGAACTAAATTATTAAAAGGCTACTTTAAAAATTTTATTATGGGAACACAAATTATCAAGTTTTATCAAAACTTCCACAAATTGTAGAGCAATCAAGTGAAACAACGAATAATAACACCCAACTGTCGTCGCAGTGTTTTGTCAATTTTGAGGATTGGTCAACGTGTCGTATACTCGATTTGCACAATCCGACGCTAACAACAAACTACAGCAGCAATGGAAACTTTAAGTGGAACTTCAACTGCACCACACTAAGATTAGTGAACAATTATGGTTTTCGCCATTTCTGCAACAAGTTAATTCCCAACCCAACCGATTGGCAGAGACTGAATAAATTTATTCGTAGGGCGTTAACAACACAAACTCAAAAAAAAAAAAATAGAAAAACAAGAAAATTACACAAGATCAGGCCAAGAAGAAAAAGTCTGGGGGTTTGGTAATTGTTTACTCCATGTCGACTGACATGGTAATTCCATTATTTGTGTGTCCACTTACTTGTCAATGTAATCGATCGATTCGATTTCCTTTTCTATTTTCCCCTCACTGGGACTGTCCTCATCCAAATTGGCCGAGCCTGGAAAAAAATGAAAGGCACAAAAGGGTATAATTAGTTTACACTACATATAGAAGTTTGTCGTTGCATAAATTAAAGTTCTACGAAAATTTATGAGTTTCATTCTCGGCAAAATGGTAAACACATGTCACATCTAACATGACCGGCATAAATTATAATTAATGTTGCAGCGACCGAAAAACAGAACCAGAACTGCATTAGCAAATGGAAATAAGACAAAACTCACGCACTCCGAGAGGCTCGAGAAAAAGGTGAACAAATAATACGCTTGAACCAAGGGATACATATGTGTATATCTGTACAGATTTTGCAGACATATAAATCGTTGTTAGTGGCATGATTTATGAGACAGCAGCCACCGGTGAGCGATGCATATAGATCACTGCAAATGCCGGCCAAATGTCAATCAACACGGAGAACATTTTATACGCCATTCCAAAACCGCGTCAAAGTAAGTGAGATCAAAGTGATAGCCACCATTTAAGGCGCAAAAGAATTAATGTGAAAAATACACCAGACCTCGAAATAAAACAAACAAAGGGTGCTCTGAAAGAAAAGCTTGTTATGTATATCCATTTTATTTTATTCCCCTTAAGCTTGATCCTTTTAAAATAAATGTTGAAATCAAAACTCTATAACCTCCATACCTACATTTCCAAATCTAGACAAGTCTCTTTTTGGTCTCTGAAGTCTAAGGGGAGCGTCAATCAGAGACAGACACTTCAAGTTCAATTGAAAAATGCGGCACGGAGAATAAAGAGCGATAGACCAACCGCATTGCCAGACAATGGCAACACGCTCCGCAACACACAAATGTAAACAAATAGATTGAGGCTAGGCTTTTGGGGGCCCAGCTGGTACCGATATCTGAAAGACAAGTTTCTGAAACGTTTGTACCATTCTGGAGGCTGTGGCATATGACTGTTAAGTGACTGCCTCGATCGTGTCTTAACTCAACTCAAACGCGAGCTCAAGTGAAACTCCAGACAAGTCAGCTGAACTCGGTGGGCAATTTCATGCATGCAAATTAGTTTTTGGACCTGTTGCAATTTGTTGTAACCCCTCCCAAGACTCTGGCCTCTGCTGTTTATTGAGTTCCCAAGCCAAAGTGAAAGAAAGACAGAGAGAATCTGGAATTAGCTCATGAAAAATAGTTCACAAATTATAATAAAACTTTGGGTACTGGCCCAAGAAGCTCACTCGTGCATATCCTAGAGACATGCGTGAGAAAATCATCGCAGTACTTCTCATGGCAGCCAACAAAACTGCAACTGCAACAGCAACAGCAACTGCAAATTTATGCAATGCCAGAAGCAGCAACATTTTGCAAAAGGGTCTAGACTCTAGTCTCTAGACTATAGACTTGCTAGTTGCAACTCTCCTGATGGCCATTGCCTGATTTTATACTTGTAAATTACCCGTTGCACTTGGCGGTGGCAATGAAGATGCTCTCCCAGGGTAAATGTGTGGCAAGCAATGTTTTGCATGCAACCCGAGGCTGGGTTTGGCACGTTTTTAGGTTGTTGCTCTGTCGGAGATGGCTATGAAATTGTGCACTAAAATATTACGATCGAAAAGTGTGCTACGAGTATTTTTGTGGCCCAAAGGAAAGGATACTTCAGGAATAAGTGCATAGTTTCGTTTGGAGTTTCAACACCTCCTAGACAACTTAAATACAGTTGTTAATTTCCTCACAAATAGGTTACTATTTCATCAAGATTTTCGAACAATAAAAACGAACACTGCGGTTGGTCTAAGGTGTTAATAACAAAAACGAAACTTAAGCAAACAATGAACTCCGGCTTGAAAGCTTCTCGTAATTTCCTCACACACAAAAAAACAAGCAAATGAATGCAAATCGAACCGCAGAAAGAACATAGATTAATGTTAGAATATGAAATAATAAAAACAAACTAAAGAAGAGCCCAGAAGAAAGATAAATGATGCGGCTTGGGGCAGACCAGTAAGCGGAAGCGGAAATATCTCAGCCAAGTTGCGGCAATTTGTGGTTTTAATGGCCTGTCTCCATCTAGAGAACCCCGACTGGTACCATTACATTTTCCAGTGTCCCCCAACGGTTTTATGGGCTTTGTAATTGAGAACACTGAACATGGGACCAGACACCTCATGCCGGGAGATATATACCCATATAGCAACCAGTATACCAGTTTGTTCAGAAGGCTCGTGTGTCTTCATTTAATCGCCAAACACTTTTCACATCTCCTGCAACGTGACGAATGATGTCCGATGAAATATGCAAAATATTTTTCAAACCAGAAAGAGACAAATAGCGGAAAATGCCAAGAATGGTTGCGGTGTCTGCACAAAATACAAAAAAAAAAAATAGTAACAGAAGTTTACAATTACAAAAATGTGAATAAAAAGGAGTTTCCAATGACTAAATAAATCAGCGTGGGAAAAAATGTTATATAAGAAAAGTAAACAAAGGCTGAGAGAAGCCCCCTAACAATTATGATAAATTGCATTTGACAAATTAAACACAATTGGCAGCCAATAACAAATGCGGCATTAAAGGCTAAAAGAAGCAATACCCAAAACTTGAAACGCGAAACCAAAAAAAGTCAATTGTAAGACCAATGTTTCACCCTCTTTTCAGCTACCATATCTTAAACTTACCCAACCCAGTTCAAAGACTGTGGCCAAGAGGCAGACAAACAATTGTCGCGACCATTTTACTCGGGTATCAAATTACCCCAGACACTTTTCAAACCCCAAGGCAAAGAAATAAAGCGTATATATATCCATCTTTTCATACTTATTTCTCTTTTCTCATATATGGACACTTTATTTTACAACAATTACAATGTTTAGGGCTCTGAGAAAAGCCGCAAGTGACATAATTTTTGTTGCCTTTCAGCCAAGAGGCTTAGACGATTCAAGCAGACCCCCAAGCTGATTTTCAATTAAATAAAAATTGTGTAATTTTTAAAGAGAGGGAATGAAAATGAAAGTAGGGATTAAGTGCGAGTGATATTCGATACATGGGACTGGGGTTATGAAAATTATATGGGAGGTATATAGGGGGAAACGACTTCTTTTAAGGAAGTGAGTAGCATTTGCAGTTTAACAAATTCAATAAAAATCAATAGGCATTCCAACACAGAAGTAATTATATGTTTGGCATGTCGGTGATTGAAAAATCCCTTTTATAACATAAATATTTCAAAAACAAATTAATAATTATGACCTTTGCTTGGGGTTATGCTATAAAAATATTTCGGCTTTTTTGTGAAAAAGAAACGCACGCTTCATCAATTTATCAATGAAATAATGACCTCTCCGGCGGTGTCAGTCAAAATTAAATTTTGATCCCAAGCCCGACATAAAATTTCACAGAGATTAACCCGCAGCTGGGACAAGTCTGATGCAATGTCAGAGTTGTGCCACCGAAATATTTAAAAAAACAAAACACATTCCGGGGATTAGACATGAAAAACACAAATCGATCTGTGTTCGAGCTTCGTTGACTGACAATTTATACAATATCGGCTGTTATAGATTGGGGGAGTTACAAATAAAATAAATATGAAGTGTGTACCGAGTGCGTGGAAGACTTGGCCCTGACAGTCATCAATCTGCGTCATGTTAATCAATTTTATTAGCATTAGATTCCACACCACATCTTTTATTTTTTTTTTGGTGGAAGACATGGGATTCTTTTCCGTATTGCCGTTTGGAAATGTTTCAAGCTTTGTAGCACTTTTTCAAGTACAATTCAAATAGAAAAACGAACAAAAAATACATCAAAAGTCAGCACTGAAGTGCGCTCAAGTGCGGCACCTCATCAAAGTAATGAACAGACAACGAAAAAAATCAGTAATCGTTTTCGTAATGAAATTATGAATGAGCTGGCAGCAAGCTGTCGATTTTTTTTCTTCGGGATCTCTTCTAAATCTGTGTGAATGACAATGCCGATTTCTTGAATCTCTATTTATAGTTAGCTTCGATCTGAAGGTCACCAGACCTAGGCCTAAGAAATCATTACGAGTCTACCAAATAGAAAACGAAAACAAAAACGTAAACGCAAAGTGCCGATTAATTCGATGGCACTTCCATATTTGTAGGCATATAATTTTGAAGAGAGGCTTCAAGACTATCGAAAAACAGCAAAAACCAATCTGCCGAAATTAAAAATAAATATATACAGGCATATGCATAATAAATTATAAACAAACCGAGCTTGGGCTATAATCTCTGTGTGGGATTGACTCGGAAATCTTGGAGGAAATAATATTTTACTATTAAGGCTTTGTCAGTTTCGAGATATTTTTCAGCTAAATTATGGTTTCAAATTGTGGCTTAATGTGTTATTATTATAATTATAAGGTTTTAATTTTCAGATCATCAGCAAATCAGTTTCCGTTCGAGTATTTCTTAAAGAAATCATAAAATGATGGAATGGAATCATATTTATTTTCACTAAGAACTTATTCCCTTTTTATTTTCGATTGAATTTTAAAGACTACAGACCAGCCATCGTTAAGCGGAATACAATTTATGCAGAATTGAGAAAAAACTAAAAATAAAAATATATATTATTCGGCGACATCCTTTCTTGGCGTGGGTTTAAGCGGAATGAAATTCGACAGAGGCGAGAATGCACTGGAGCGTGTGCATTTGCAAGGGGCGTTGAGGGAAAATATCTGAAAAGGGGGGCAACAGCTGCAGACGACCGAAATTTCGCATATTTTGCCAGAATTTGCAACAAAATGTGCTCAAACTTTAATATTGCAGACGGAAACCAGGGGATGGATGGCACACAGGTCGCTGAGTGTGCAGAATGGTTTGCGAAAATCAAGCAAGGGTTGCAGATGTCACACTCCGCAAAAATGTCCACCCCACCATTATATTATTTTCTAAAATACTGGTAGAAGCCCATATAATAGCCATAATTTCTTTTCAGTGCAATCCGAAAGAGATCAGGCGAGGGGAGTATCAAATTTCCTTTAGATTCGTAATGAAAAAACGTTATTTGCTTT